CTTCCGACACTATTCCCGCGACTTCTTCCCCCACGCCGACACAATGGTGCGTTACCTTGAAGACTTTGCTTCTAGGCTGGAGCTCCAAGTTCAGTACAACACTGCCATCACCCACGTGACACTGGACAGGGATCCACAGGCGTGGAACGGCCATTACTTCATCCTTACAGACCAGAACAGCCAGACCTATAGATGCAGGTAACCAGTGAAGTGGTGGTCAGCTACACCGCTTATACCTAGCACTCAGTTGGGTTGTGGAGTGAAATGTTAGCTCCTAAAAACTGCCATTTTCCTTGCGGTACCCACAGAGGTGGACTCTGTTTGGGAACCCAGAACTGATGTAGTAGGTGGTACGTCATGTCTGATCAAGGCTTATTGACTTGCAGATGGGATGATGGCAGAACTGGAGTAATGGGGTGCTAAAGGCAGGGCTGTCCCTGGGGGGGGTGGGGAGGGGCAAATTGGGGCGATCGCCCTGGGCCCTGCGCTTTGGGGGCAGGCCCCCGCAAACAGTGCCGTACAGGCCCCACCGCACCCACCATGCGCCACCACTGCTGAGCATTGCATCCAAGCGCTGCTGGCTCCAGCCACTCACCACACCCCCCTACTCCCAGCCCCTGCACAGGCTGATTTGCCCTGGTCCTCGCACACCCCTAGGGACAGCTCTGGCCAAAGGTCAGGAACCTGTGACAAAGGGGCCTCCTGGGCCACTGACTCCAAATTCCTGCGTTCACAGGGATTCATTTTCTCAAGGAACCCCCGAAATCGCCATTTTAGACCCTCACCCCAGAATAATCACGAAGTGGTGCTGTTAGTATGTTGCACCAAGAACCCTGGAGAAAAACAGCAGGAAGTGCTACTAGCTGAGGTTACTTGATATCCCTTTCCATCTCATAAATATTTCCCTAAAATTAAATAATGTTTGGTCTCAGGAGGTCCAATCAGAAAAATCAGCTTTACTGTAATGATCTAATAGTAATATTTTTATCAAATGAAATGTTTGCCTGAAAAAATTGCAGTCATCTTCTGTACTATTCTGAAAGGACATTAAAAGGCAATGCATTACAAATGAATAGAGGAAAATTATTTTTGTGTGACATATAATTAACCTTTGAATCTCACTGGTACTCTTATCTTTTTATACAAGAATCCAGAGACTTGGGAAAAGATTGGACATTTACATAGCATCTGCAGTGAAGCTTTGCTTAAATAAAATTACAAGTGCTATTTATCCTTAGACTATAGAGAATAAACAGCTCAGGAACTGGAGCTGGGAAGACATTTCTGCCCATTCCGTGTAGCACTGAACACTGATCTGCATTAAACAGCTGATTCAGTGGGCCTGGATGCAGAATGTTACACTGCAGCGTATATCACATTCTGGAGGAGACGGGATGGCAAATGAGATGGCTGGTTTCATTTGGTGTGAGGATGCCAAGTGCTGACCATGGTTTTCCACCATATTGTGTTTACAGCCTATTGTTGGTAGCCACTGGAACATGGGTCCCCAATGTGGTGAGCTTCACTGGCTCAGAATACGTTGAGGGCTATGAGACCGTGTCCATCAACCCAGAGGATTTTGCTGGCCAGACAGTGTTGATCTTGGGTAGAGGGAACTCTGCCTTTGAGACTGCCGAGAACATTTTGGGGGTCACCAATTTCATACACATGGTGAGCCGCTCCCGTGTTCGCCTTTCTTGGGCCACCCACTACGTTGGAGATCTAAGGTATGAGGCTGTTCTCCTTTCTAGTTCTAATGGGAATATTTATGGAGTGAAATTGCTGTGGGTTGATGAGACTGGTGGGATTGATGCTGAAGACTCTGAGATTGGGAACAGGATAGAAGGCCTCTCACCTTTAGGTCTTTGGTTTAAATCCAAACCAGATTTGCGGTTACTGGAGGTCATTAGCACCTGAAGGTTGGTCAGTGTTCTGTGTGAAGTGAGTTAATAAAGAGAAAGGAGGGCATTTAATGGTTTCTAATGAAAACTGCATCAGAAAAAACACCTTTGTTTCAGGTACTATTTAGCCTCTTGTCTGTAATATCAGGAGGCCTGTGTGGACCATGGAAAGAGAGTTCAATGATTAGGATGCAAGTCTGGGGCACCAGAGCCCCAGATCCAGTTCCTCGCAGTGCCTCAGACTTCTTATGTGACTTTGGGCCTCGCTTTCCCATCTGTAACAAGATGATAATAGCACTGTTCTAACACACGAGTTTCATGAGCATAAAAACATTAATAACTGTGAGGCACTCGGATACTCTGGGAAGAGGGGCTAGTAAGATAGAATGGAAACTATGCTCCCCTTTTACCTCTATGAAGCATATGGTGAAGCAGTACAGAGAATGGAACATGTGCCTGTTTGGGTGATATGATGCCTGTCTCGTGCACTGTTAATCTGGAGATAAGTAGCCCTAAGATCCCACAGACACAAAAGACATTAGCTGGATAACTGTAGTGCACTTTGGGACAGGAATTGTGGGAGGCATGGTACATTTTTCATAGTTTCAAGAAGAGGGTTTGAATCCCATGCACCACTCTGTTTCATTAAAGTTAAAATGATACCCAGTGAAGTTGTAGAATACCCTTCACTGAAGATTTTCAAGAGGTTAGATAATCATTAGTCAGGGATGGTATATGAGTAGCATTCCTGCATTCATGCAAGGGTTTGGACTGGATGACCCTTCCAGCCCTATGATTCTATCAAACCTGCAGCAGTTTTGCTCATTTACATTGCTCTAAGAGCGTGCAAGTGTGACAGTTAAACTGAAACAGTATTGGCCCTCCCAAATAGCCACTCCCCTTCCTTTTTTAAAGCAGTTGAAAGCTGCGTCTGTCCACAGCCTTCCAATCTCTTTATACTACTTATATTCTTGTTCCTTAGAGCAATTAACAATGGCCTTCTGGACACATACCAGCTGAAGTCGTTGGATGGACTATTGGAGGGTGATTTGGAAGATCTGGCTATTGTTAAGGACAAGAAAGGGAAGTTGCACATCACTCTTAGATTTTACCTGGAGAACAGCAATAGCAGTGCAGGTGCAGAGACCGTCACCCTCCCGCAGGATGAACTGGACAATTTTGCCACCCGGGCACCCTACGACCGTGTTATCCGCTGTCTTGGCTGGAAATTTGACTTTTCTATATACAACAGGTGAGGAGGAACAAGGGCCTTGATGGAGAGAAGTATAGAGAGTGTGTGTGTGAGAGCTTATATACCACCAGCTTTGGACAGACAGGTTATCAGGGCCGAGGGTGTGGGGTTGTCAGAATTTAGCTTCTTGGGGACAGACCCGCATTTCTGTAGGTGAAGACCCTGAACCACTCATGTCGCATGAGTAGTCAGCTGATGACTGCATTGGTGGTGTACAGAAGCAGAGCAGCACAGCAAAGCTTTTCCTCATCCTTCAGTACATTTTCTTGTTACTCTCTGCCTCGGTTCATCTCCTAATACAAACTGCAGATGGAAATTATATCAATAGCAGCTGGCCTCAGAAACGTGTTCTCAGTGCCAAGTGGCTTAAGCTCAGATATGACCCCTCCCAAAACTGCTGTAAAACTGGCACCCTGAATTTTTAATAAAATTCTCTCAATGTGCTCCTGGCAGGAGAAAGGAATGAATCCTGCTGCAGTCAGTAACTTTCAGAGTGGCCACAGCTTAACATTTATCTATCCCCTTTCAAAAATTTGCAGTCACCCAGCCTCTCCACTTCCCGACTGGCTTAAACTGGTCTTTTGTATTGCAGATCTCTTCGATTGGTGCCAGGGAGAGGGAATAAGAGGAAATATCCTCAGATCAAGCCCAGTTATGAATCCAGAGGCACACGAGGGCTCTTTGTCCTGGGCACTGCCAGCCACTCCAACGACTTCAGGAAATCTGCTGGGGGCTTCATCCATGGATTCCGATATACAAGTGAGTGCTGGGATCTATGCCATAAACAATGGTTGGAAAGGGACAATTCGGAGCCTAGAAGTAGATTGGCAAAAGGCAAACATTACTGTATCACCTTTAATCTAGTAATTATTACAAGAACATGTTATGTCCAGCCTGTGGTTGCACAGCAAGGTCTGAGCTGGAGGAGAGGTTGTAGGATATATCTCTTGTCCTTAATTTGTCTATATTTTGTCTATTTGTGTGTGTGGTCTTCTTCTCTATCTAGCTATTTATCTCTTACTTATATACTGGATTCCAAGTTCTGCCACCAGGTATGTTGCCTTGTGAGTGGATTTGGGTGTGGTCTCTGCTGAGAAGCAAAAAGTTTGGCAAGTTTGGGGCAGGAGAGTTATGTTTTTTTCATTGTCATATAATTGACAGACCCCTTCCTTGCCACCCCATGGAATGATCCACTAACATCTCTCCTCTCTCATGCAATGATCCACTAAGGGAAAATATTTGCCTTACCAGCCTGTAAAGATCGCCTTTGCCCTGTAAGGGTGATCATTACAACTGTGAGCAACCCTAGGGAGAGTGCTGATTGGCCAGGATGGCAGTCGCATGACTTGGTCTAGTCCACAGTCTGTCTTTTGTCTCTCCTTATGCTGCTTGCATGTGTCTTTGTTGTGCAATTGGAGATCATAAAGGCGGGAGCCGTATTTTCAAGCAACTTTTTTTGACCTTCTCTTTCCTCACTCACTATTGTAGCTCGTGCTGTCCATCGCTTGTTGGAAAATCATCACCATGGGGTCCCCTGGCCATCGCCAATCTACCCTATTACACACCTGACAAATTCCATCATCAAAAGGGTGAATGAGGCCTCTGGGCTCTACCAAATGTTCAGTGTTCTGGCTGACATCATTCTACTTAAAGAGTGAGTAATTATTGCAAGCACTCTGATCTGTCAATTAGTCCCTTTTCTTAAGAGGCCAAAACAGCCCAGAATGTCCTGTTAGTCAAAAATCTATTCCAGAATTCACCTTTGAGTGTTTCCAGAAAAAAGAGTGCAATGAGCTAGGCTGCATTAGCTGAAAGTAGGGAGAAGGCTGCCTTAAGTCTCCTTCAGTGGTAACAGGAGATCTGCTTTTTCTCTGCATTGCCAAATCCAATCTAGTGCAGATCAATACTAACTAAAACTCATGGCCCTGTACTAGCTATTTAGTGGTCTGTGTGGATTGCTGGGTTTTGTGTATGTGGCTGGATCCCTCTTGGGCCAGTTGGATAGTTCTTGGTCCTAAGGGCTCACAGATGTGTTTGTGGCTCTTAGGAATGCCACAGCATTTGAGTACCTGGAGGAATATCCTGTGGGGATCCTGGCACAGCTGGAATTGCACACGGGGAGAAAGGCACCCAGTGGGCTCTTCGCTGTCATCATGGAGTACGGAAGGAACTTCTCCGGTGCTGACAAAGATGTCTTCTACTACAATCGAGCAGTGGGGGAGGCACAGCATGCCTGGCAATCCAACTTCTTGCACCCTGTTATTTATTACTACAAACGCCTCCCTACAGGTAAGTTGAGCAGCCTCCTTGTTCACTTTCCTACCGTTGCTTATCAATCATAAGAAGAGTACTTCAGGAGAACGGAGAAAAACCAGAGCCCATTGCAGAACCAGACCAGAGCTCCTTCTGTGATGCCTTGAAGCCATTCTCCTGTGGCTTTACAAGCTGGAGAAAGAACAGGAATCTGGGACTGGTCAGTACTAATCTTCATTCATCCAGAAACAACTGCTGAATGAGTGGCCAGGTGGAGATGTTTGAGACCTCAAATTTAGGGGTGCAAAAGAAGAATCCAGAATCCCCTGGAAGTGATGGCAAGGGTGTTACTTGCCTGGTATCACATGATGTGGAAATACCAGACAAAGATGAACTGCTAAGCATCACCATGAAAGGGAAACTGCTGCTCTGTGGTGCACCAATCTCTGAGGGGTCAGGTACAGAAAGAAGACACCTCGGCTCTGATGGATATAGCCAAAGGCAAGAGTTGGAGATGAGCGTAAAACCAAGACATAAACCCACACACAACAAGTTTCCTTAGGAGAGTAGGGGCAGATCTATTCTAGTTTTAGGTGTCCAAGCGGCACTTAGTCTTTTAAATTCAATCTTATTCCATGCAGGTTAAGTCTCTAAAAGCCATTAATATGCTTACTTTTATAACATACTTTCATTTTCACTTTATGTTGCAAAAAGTGGGGAGGAGGAGAATCCACCCATCTATTGCCTGAATGCTTTTTCAGAGACTCAAGTAGGGTGATATAGGATCATATTTACCTGCCTAAGTACCACTTAAATGCCTAATAGGTGGAACAGGATCTGGCCTTAAAATGTTAACCTCCAGAGACCTACCAATAGGTCACAAGGGGGAGAAGTTTCATTTATAACAACTTAAAGCCTGGGTGCAATCTGATATAACTGGCTGTCCCTGTTCAGAGCGACCTGGAACAGAGTCATAAAGTGGGGATTGCTTGGGTCAGGCAGTGCTGAAGATCAGGAGTGTGGGGCTTTCTGGAGGACTATGCTGTTGTAGACTCTCCAGGTGAACTACTTGGTGGCCATAAGGAGTTGTGAGCGGGCTCAGAACTAGGATAGTAGGTGATACTAACTATAGAGCAGAGCAAGGTGCAGCAGCAACATTGTTGAAAGTGAGAGGTAGTAGGATAAGAAAATAAAGCAGCTATTGCTGCATTTACTTCCTGTCTCTGAAGCCCTTCACAATACCATGTTGATCCTGGAAGAGGATGGTGAAAGCTCCTTTTCTGCTATCTTAATATGATCTGTCATCTCTTAACAGAGCGTGAGATGAGGCTTCGTCCTCCAGACTGGCCTCTTCCCCGCCCAGATGCCATCCATCATATTGTTGAGGATTTTCTGACAGACTGGACAGCTCCAAATGCTCATATCCTCCCCCTGAGACGCTTCCTGGAGAATTGCTTGGGCACTGACCTGCGCAATTTCTTTGCAGGTAATCTGGGCACTGGGGGGGCATGTGGGGAGGAAGACACCCGAGAGAGATGCCAAAAAGCAGGCAGAGTCCAGTTTACATGATAGATCCTTCTGGTTCCAAGGCAGGTGGGAAATCTCCCTACCAGTCCCTATCTGTCTTGGGTTTTTTTAATATGCTGCAGGTAACAAAAGGAAGTGCTGGGGCCATATTAGGCCCTCACGCATTCCTAAACAGCCGGTGCTTTCAGTCATTACAGGAGGGAAGAGTTGTCTGCCCTCGCCCCCTTAAACTGTATGTTGGGTCTTGACTGAAGCAGCAGCCTCCACCACCTCAAATGTGCTTTGTGCTGCTAGAGCCACTGCTGCTTTTGGTTGGAGGTGATCCCGTTATAGGGACTGATTGCTGAAGGAGAGAAGAGAATGCTGTGATACTGGACTGGAGAACATATGTGAATGTCAGTGGGGCACTTCTGCCACCTCTGAGCTAGCAAGTAGAAGAAATGGGTATGCATCTCAATTTCCATTCCTCCCTCTCTGAGCTAATAAGACTCTGAGGTATACAGGTGTCCATCCCAGCTAATTTAAATTAATAAAACCATGGTGCTATCTGGGAAGATACTCTCCTTTAGATTCTGAATGATCCACTGGGAAGCTGTGATTTATGGAGCATTTACAGGGATTCTTTTTTATAAAAAATCGCTACTGATTTTTCTTTGTCCTTTTTTATAGAGTCCTGTTTTCTGTTTGCCTTGACCCGCCAGAAACTGCCTCCTTCCTGTCAGCAAGGATACCTAAGAATGCAAGGGCTTGTGGGTAGTGAAGGACTCAGGCGCCATGCAGTGGAAGCTAGCTTGATGGAGAATTACACTGTTGTGGACACTCCAAATGAGCTACTTGGTGGCCAAAAGGAGATACATGACCAGCTGCTGAAGGATCACATAATACCAGGTCGCCCACTGCAGCATCTCATAAACACCAAGGATGAACTTTAACTTTTCACTGTTTATATCAAAATGTATGAGGACCATTGTGGTGATTCCATAATGCTGACTTGCAGCAGGGTGCCAGCCTTTGCCATGTGCCACTTGGTCCTTGCCCAACCCTTTGCCTAACCATGAATTGCCAAAGACCTGCTCAGATCTGTTCTTACTGAGGAGACCAATGTGCTTTGAAGGGGAAATAAGGAGCTGAGATCCAGCAGTGTTCAGGTTTCTCCTTTGTCCCTGCAGAGCCCACAGTTGCCTGATGACAGTGTTGTATTTATGTTGTAGACCAATGCCTGGAGCAGCATCCGGAGGTCAAAGGGGATACACAGACTGAAACGTCGCATGTCCTGTGGTGGTCCACTGAAGACTCCCTGGCTACTGGATGCTGCATCCAGCCCAGTCTCGTGTATACTTGAAGAATTGTACGTTTGCCAGACTTATCAGTGGTACTGTAGGGCAGCCTTCAGAAATTAGACATTTCCAGCACTTGGTGGGGGGGGGGGGAGAGCACAGTCTGGTACATTCAGGATGGTAGGGGAGGGTTGTGGGGGAAGGGGCACAAGGTCCGTCCTACTCCTCCAAGGGTGAACAGCTTAGCAAGTTTAGATCTCTGTGAGAGTTGTCTTTAGAGTGGTCCACCTATCTTTCCTTTCCCTCCCATGCCAAACAGCCCTGGTGTGGAAGGAGAGTCCCTGTATTTTTTCAGTAGAATATCTGTCCCGTTTGCACTGTCACTCCCAAAAGTTTCCAGTGCATTTCAGTCAAGTTAAAAGACTTATCCTACATTTCCTTCCCAAGTGTTCCTATTTATATCTTTCACACATTGGTCAGTAAGCTGTTTGCACTTTATTGCTCCCCCACATCTGTCACTACTGAAAACTGATGATTGGAGCCCTGGATTTGGAATGTGAAAGGAGTCTTCCTAATGTACCTCTGATTTCTAGGAGATAGAGAAGGGAATATGCTTTCTCTGGTGTTTATATCCATGGGAATGATTTTGCAGTTGGATTGGGATGGTTTTATCTGGATAATTTTTCCTCAGCAGCTGATTCTTAAATGACATCTCACAGGACCCCTTTAAGCTTTCTGGCTCTTTCCATAAGATCTTAGCTCTTGTAGCTACTCTGCTCTTTTTTTTCAAAAAGTCAGGTGGTAGTTGAGGTGGGTGAATGGTTGAAAGGGATTTAATTCCTAACTGGGAACCTGGGCTTACCCTGATGACAATACTGTCAGAGGAGCCCCTGGACAAACTGCTGTAGGGTTGATAATGTGAAGCAGAGAGTCAGATTCTTAGCTGCTGTCAATGGAGTGATGTCTTTGTATTTTAAGGGGACTATATCCACTGATACATCTTCAGAATCCAACCCTTAAATTTGCCAAGCGGCAACAGTACTCACCAATCCTGGACCTGTTTGCAGCATAATAGGCTGCCCACTTGTGGATTGCCAAGGGAGGGACTGAAAGACAAGAAAGTGACAACAGGTCCATCTGACCTAAAGGTTCAGATCTGTTATTTAAGGAATGCTGAAGCCAAGAGCAGGGCCACTGTATATACACACTTGAAGACAAGCACCCTCTCTCACTTTCCTTTTACTTGTTGCCACACAAGACTGTAAATTCACAGTGTATGTGTTGCCTTAAGTTGTGATTTTACTTTGAAAAGGAATTATGTAAAAATGGCACCTTCTTACTGGAGCCACCAACTCCCTGTGTCTGGCAGGGTTAAGGCTGTCAAGGTGAAAGTCAAAAGTTTTTGCTACTTGCTCTTCCTGCTACCCTCTGCAGAGTCGATACTACTTAGAGAGTAAACTTGGTTAGCTAGAAGTTATCAAAAATTAACAGAATTGCTCGCTGAGTTCCAACATCATTTTTGGGGATCTAGAAATATGGCACACCTGTGGGGTCCCAGGTAGGGATAGGCAGTAGGAGAACCGCTTTCTTTTTAAAAAGGGCAGGTCACACATAGAAGTTACAAAGGAGCAATAAACTCAGCCCCAGTGATACCATGTTTATAGCTGCTTTTCATCGAAGAATTGCACTTTAAAAACTGGTGCCCAGTTGCATTATTTTAATGCAGTGTTTCCTAACCAGTGTGCATCGGCACAAAAGTGTGCCGTCAGAAATGAACTGTGCTGCAGAATTTTTCCATGGCAATGAGCTACAATAGGTATGAGGATGGGGAATGCCTTAACTGGTGTGCTGCGAAAAAAAATTATTACAGTAAGTGTGCCTTGGGCTGGAAAAGGTTGGGAAACACTGTTTTGTCTGTCCTGTTGAAGTGAATTAATGCCCATAGTAATTTTGTTGTATTGCAGACATATTTTGTATGGTTCTATTCTTCCAATGAAGTTTAAAAAATACTTAAAAAGCCAACAGCAGGAGTGGTCTGACTCTTTGTTCAGATGGGACAGTTCCAAAACCCATGGAAGTCAATAGGAGTTTTTTCTCCAGACAGCCAGATCATTGGATCCGGTCCTTGGAAAGAAAGGAAGTAATTCAAAGTACACAGATGAGGGCTTCCCTGTAATTCAGAGTACATCCCCCACCAACTGTTCCCTGTTTGTGAGCAGTAGGTCAAAAAGAGCACAGCCTCTAGTTTGCCTCTCTAACACTTGCACCAAGAAACTTGTCTCCAGTGCTCTCCAAAAGCTTCCTGGATTGCCTGTGCACTGCTGTATTGCCCTCCCAGCAGATGTCAGGGTGATTGAAGTCCCCCATGAGAACCAGTGCCTGTGATCTGGAAACTTCCACGAGTCGTCTGAAGAAAGCCTCATCTATCTCATCTTCCTGGTCTGGTGGTCTATTGCACACACCCACCACAACATCACCCTTGTTGCTCTCTCCTCTAACCTTAACCCAGAAACTTTCAACAGGCCTGTCTCCATTTTCATACTGGAGGTCTGAGTCATCATACAGCATTTACACAGGCACAACTCCTCTCCTCCCCTGCCTGTCCTCTCTGAACAGTTTGTACCCATCCATGACAGTGCTCCAGTCATGTGAGCTCTCTCACCAAGTCTCTGTTATTCCAATTGCATCACTATTCCTTGACTGTGCAAGGACTTCCAATTCTTCCTGCTGGCTTCCCAGGCTCCGTGCATTTGTGTACAGACAGCTGAGGTGATTAGCCAATTGCCCTGATTTCTCAGGAAGAATGGTTTCTTCATCCTTAATGAATGGCCATAATTGGTATAACTAGCAAATATTTTGATCCTTTTGCTCACCACCATCTCTTAAAACTTTAATATCTGGTATCAAATTCCACTTTGGGATTTCTGTTTTTTGATCTACACTCTCATCTTTAGAATCAGTCAAGGCTGTCACATGCCTCCCTGCAAACCCACCTTTATGAAGGCCAGCACAAAGATCAAGTATAAACATTTTCTTTCAGATTCAAGTGTTGTTTGGGTCTTCCTGAATTGCTGGACATTTTGACTTCTTAGCTACCTGGCAGGCATCACACAAAGGTAATTTTGCTGTTCAAATATCATAATCCTACATCCAGCAACACTGACTTCAGCCTTCAATTCTGTTGATCTACACTTTTCACCCAAACCAAGTGTTTTTCTCAAGCTGCTCTACCATCCTTTGAAAGGTGCCCACCTCCTCCTTGTCTCTTTTGACAGTCTTTTTAAAAATGTTCTAGTTTAATAGAGAGCAGATTAGTTAATTGGTATTTCCAGGGCAGCCGCACGTTCTTATTTTGCAAGCATTAGGGGGTGGTTACTGATGGGATCTGAACTAGCTGCACCAGACAAAAATTGCTTTCCTTTGTCAGTACCACATTTTCTGTCATCTGTAATGCATGTGGTTTGGAAACAAGAATTAGTCTTTTCAGTATCCCCACTTTCACTTGCGATTAAATACCAGCAGGCATAAAAAGAAAACTGCCTAGAAGCCCTATGAGGGGATATTTCACGTCAGGTAAAAATAATGGAGCCAGAATGAAGATATCACAACTAGCTAGGTTGCCTGCTTGCTTTCAGCTTGCAAAATATGGTCTGTTTGCATCTGGGAGCAAAAATAACTATAGGAGGCAATGTCAGTCTCCTGGTAGTCTTCAAACTTGGTGTATCATCTGTTGGCATGAAGAGAGTTGTGAAGGTAATCATTAATTCATCATCAACATTTATATTGACTTATGTAGTATCCTCAATTGTTTTACGGATAATCCACGCGGGTGTTATTCCATCCTCTGTGATGAGATAGTGCCCTCTGGACATGGAACAGCAGCCATCCTGCACTAGAGTGCTGCACAGCCCTGGGATAAATCAGTATTGGCTCATAAGAAAGCCAGTCAGCTACTGGATCACCTGCATGACCTGGTGTGGAACCACAACTTTCTCAGAGCAGAAGTGACAGTGTCTATCTTAAAGCCTGAGCAGCTGAATCAAGAGACAACATAAGTCTCAGCATCTTGCCACTGAAGGCCCTGCTACACATTCAAATGAAAACTGGCTAAAAACCAGCTACGGAGCTGTTACACCTTTTCAAGCGGTAACTTTGTAGTGGGTTGGCTCTTTTGATAGCTACATAGTCATTTTTATGGTGGGAGAATTGCTTTGCGTGTGCAGCCAGTCTACATTTTGTTGCGTGATTCACCAGTGAACAGTGGGAGAATTACTTTGCACGGCTGGCCAGTCTACATGTATTGCGAGATTCACCAGTGAATGCCGTGAAAAGTACTTTGGACATGCAGCCGGTCTGCTTTTTTTTTGGAAACTTTCTCGTGCTCTAAGCCAAATTATCCAGATCAGTTCCCAATCCTTTGAATCATTCAAGAAACCACACGTGGCGCTGCAACTGGCAAGCATCCTCCATCCCAGACATTTCAGCCCGGGGCTTCAGATACAGGCGCCCCTCATTTAGCATCGTCCCGGTTAGCGTTGTTCTATTATTACGTCACTGCTCTATTAGAGAACATACTTGTTTGGTTATAAGGGAGTTTGCTAGTAGGTAACTACTCTGATGTAATTGGATTCGCTTAACGTCGTTTCACTTCAAGTTGCCTTTTTCAAGAAGGTAACTGTGATGTTAAGTAGTAGCCATGCTTCCAAATCCCTTGGCAGGCATCCTACGTGCAGGCCCAAGCCCAGAGGCTTGGGGTTCAGAAGTACCCGAGGCTTCGCTTGTCCCCCAGCAGCAAGCTAGAGAGGAGTCCCCCGTTTCCATAAAGTCAAAACAGTTACGGCGTGATTCAGCCGTGGTTTGCGCCATGTCTGTAACGTGTATCAGGGGCCGGGAACTCCAAGCCGTGAGGCAAGGGCTGAAGGTGCGCCTCCAGAGTCCCCAGGCTCACAGACCAGCGAAGGCACCGGACAGGCCAGGGCCGGTTGCTGCCTGCCCCCTGCTTTGCTGGACGCCGCTGTCTCGGCAGGCAGCCCCACGCCTGACACCTGCTAGCGCAGCCCACCTCCCCCTAAAGCTGCAGGGGCTCGGCCTGTTTCCCCCGCACAGAAAGACCCGCCTTCCCCAGCAGCCAATCAGCGCCGAACATCCCACCCCACACGCAGAAGCGAGCCAAACAGCATCCAGATGTAGCCCACCAGAGGTCCTCGCCAGCCAATCAGCGCTCGGGAGGAGCCCGGGGGGCGTTCGGAAGCTTCCGGTGCCATGAGCCAATCAGTTCCCAGTACTTGCCTGCGCGGGCCGCTGACAGATCCCTCCCACAGCCAACCCCGTGCCCGCACTCCTCCTCCCCAGCCAATGAGGTCGCAGCCTGCCCCGGCAGCGCCCGGGAGCTGCGTCGACCTCCGGGCCCTGGAAGGTGAGGACTGGCGGGGGGCGGGATCTCGGGGGCCCTTTGGGCGCAGCTCCAGCTGCACGTGCGGGCAGCCCTGCTGGGTCTCGGGCACTTGCGTGCTCGGTGGGGTCCCACAGCACCTCAGAGCCAGGGCAGGCGGGTGCTGGCCCCAAAGGGAAGCCGTGGGTGCAGGGGCCGGGCACAGCAGCACTTACCCGCTGTTGGTTCACTGATTAACAAGTCCACCGAAGCAAAGGAGCAATCCACTGGGAGACCCCCCAGTACGAGTTCAGTACACATCAGTAGCCTGCGATTGACCAACGTCTGAGGTCTGCTGGCCTGACCTGGGGTGGGGGGTTTTTGGACCCCTGCTTTTGTATGTCCCCCCACCGAGCCCCTGGGAACCCGTGATGAGGGGCTGCAGCCAAATAGAGTGAGGATACAGCTGGTTGTTAGAAAGGTCGCTTTAATCAAACAAGCAGTATTAAAAAGCTCGGGAGTAAACGAGGCCAATGAAAAGAAAAACAAGTGTGTCGGGGGAGGAACGGAGTTTTGGGGCTGTATACCAGAGCAGCCAGTTGCAGCAGTTGGGGTGAGGGGTGACCAGCAACGTACTGTGGGATGCCTGGAGGACTGGCCAAACTTATGTCATGGAACACTTGGTGTCCACACATGATGCTGGCCTGGTTCCAAATAAACTGATTCAAAATGTACTTCAGGGTCCAGGTACACTTTTGCACCATACAGGCAGTATTCAGCTGGCTTAACAGGCTTGTATGTCTGCTTCCAGTTTATACTGCATTCAGACTGGACTAAGGGATATATGTGTTCATGTCTGCGGGGCTGTGAAGACCACACTTCTTTCTGGCCTTAGCTGCTCATGCCTCCCCTCTCGTGGAGAGTATGTAGTGATACCCAACTCTCTGTTCTCCTTCCTCACCCCAGCAGGATTTGACCTCAAACAGGGTGTTTTTTTCTCTCTCTCTCTCTCTCTCTGCAGATGGCCCAGACACTCGCACTCAGGAGGCTTCTAGCTTCCTCTCCTAAGAAGCTGTCTGTGCCGTTTCGGCCCCAGCCTGCACTGCTTCTCTCTAGGGCATCTTCTGTCCCCAGCAGGCCAAATTCCCTCCTACACCGGGCACAGGCCTCTCTACTTTCTTGTGTTAAGACGTTTTCTACCACGCCTCTCTGCAGGAGCACGTTCAACGTCCAGGATGGGGAGGACTTCCAGGACAGAGTCATCAACAGTACAAAGCCCGTGGTGATAGATTTTCATGCGCAGTGAGTACTGACAATGGGGCACAGTGAGAATAGTATCTTCAGGGCACTCCTCTGTCTTGGATCCTACAGCTGATTGCCTTCAGCCTCTGGACAAGTGATTTAATTCTCTTGGTCCTGGTTTCATCCTCTGTAAATCAGGGATAACAGTGCCTTTTGTGAGGCATGTTCTGACCCATGTATAAACAAAGCTATGTGAAGCTAAGTCTGTACTAGAAGAGGTTTGCCAGTGCCTGTCCCCTGCTGGCCCACTCATGTACTGTAGGCATAGCTTATGCTGGCAAAATAAATGCTTTGCTGACATAATTCATACCACTTTGTCTGAATAAAATAAACTATTTGAGTAAAAATGCTTTTTTATTGGTATAACCGTGTCTCTAAACTAAGGCTCTTGCTGGCATTAAAATGGTAAAGAAATATGCACCCTTAGCCAGTACAACCATGCTGTCAAAGGTTCTGATGGAAATGTGGCCTTAACACTGTGCTGCATTAGGAGAGAGAACTCAAAGGTGATGCTTACAACGTTGTCTAGTCCAGCTCAAGGCAGGCTCAGCCCTGACTAAGACCATCCCAGTCAAGTGTCTTGTCTAATCAGCTCTTGAAAATGTCTAAGGATGGAGGTTCCACAACTTCTCTAGGCAGCCTGTTCCATCCCTGAAGTTGCTCTGTATCAATGTAGCCATTCCGTAGCTCCACCCATGCTGTAAAATGAGTGTCCCAATAAGACTACAAAATATTATAAATACCCTTATAAAAAGCATCATGTTTGTAGTATCTCATTAACATGTCAATAAATATAATATAAAATTACTAGCAAGTCGAGACTTTAATAAGTCCTTTATTTATACAGTATTGTTTCAACTTCTGTTATTCTCAGCCTACAGTGACAGTGACAAACAGCAGAATCTATTTCATTGCTGCATTCTACTGCCCCACGTTTTATGTGACTCCCATTATGGCTCATGGGATGCTCTTTTTATGGTGTCATAATGACACTTATGACTGAATGCGTTCCACAAGCTTGCTAGATTTTCTTTATGGACTTAAAGATCCAGGCTGACAATTAGAACAAATTACAGCACACAAGTGGTTTTATACAAGTGAAGCTGTGCACACTGAATATATCTACGTACAGTTTTTAAATCATTCCTTAAATGCCCCTTTGGTTACCTTCTGCTTTTCTTTAGGAGAGCCCTTGGAATCCAGGTGACAAGATATAATTGCTAAGAAATTCATAGCTTGCTATAATCTCCTCTTTTCATAAAGTCTTCTTGAATGCTGTCTCTTCCTTGAGAGGACTTTTCACTAGTGCGAATGAGTTGATACTGACAAAGACTTTTGGTAGCACTTGATTGGCATCGACAACCAATTTTGCTGCCTCTAGCAATGAAAATATTCTAAGATGTTATCTGTTTAAATATCATAATTATCTTTGATTTTTAGTTGTGTCTTAGTAACCCATTAATATGGATACAGTTGTGCTAGGTGCTGTATGAACACAGAGCATAGAAGAGTCTGGAACCCTGTGACGGAGATAGACAAAGTGAAGCAGGAACTATTAAGGACTCTGTGAGGGAGAGGAGCAGTTTAATATCTGCAGAATCTCAGAGATGCAAGTGCAGGGCTGGTAGGGAGCAAGAGCTGCTGTAGTATCCGTCTAAGCCAGGGGTGATCAGTGTGCAGCATACATGCCATAAGTGGCATGGGCAGCTTCTGGATGTGGCATGTAGACTATAAGGGAGGGACAGGCAGCACAGGAGCAGATAGGTCAGGAAGCAGAAAGCAGAGCAGTAGATTGCGTAGGGAACAAAGGACCAGGAATAGGAAGCAGAGCAGCAGGAAGGGGATTGGAGTGGCACTCTGGGAGGACCAATTTATGGCACTTCTGCCTAATTGGCCCCCACTAATCTAAACTATGATGTAAGGGTTCGGGAGTTCTTGTTTCGTCCTTTTATTTAATGTTTTTCTTCTTCTGAATAGTTTGGATTTTTTTTTCCCTTTTGCAGGGAAGTAGGTTCAGGGATTAATGTAAGTACGAAGCATGACAGCAAGTGCAATCGGAGAGAGAGAAACATTTTTTTTTCTTTTCAAAGGCTTTGGTGCCAGCTCTGCAAACTCTTGCTAATACCAGAGCTTGGGACAGGCAATATGCTTTCTAATAGAGCTGCCTCTGCTTTATGGAAACCCAGCAATTACCTGAAGACTAAAAGTATTTCAAGAGTAATGGGTAGCACTGAACAGCCCCCCTCTTCCTGCCCCCCCAATAGTCTGATGGCAGCCTCTCCCTAAACTGTACTGTCACTTGAAAACAGTATTATTTTCTAATCTGCATCTATACTTGGCTTGCTCTGGTGACAGGCAACAGCTGCTGGAGCACATGGACATCCATGCCCTCTGACAGCTCCACTCGGGTGCCTGGCTGCACAAGCAGGAAGTGCATGAGGGGAGGCACCAGCTGCAAAAGGCATGATGGCAGCTGGCAGAAGGCATGGGAGCATCTACATGTGCCTTCTGCCACGTGGCCGGTAGTGGCAGAAGCCTTACTGCACACAGTAGAGGCTGTTTAGTTCTGCTGGCACAAAATAGGGAGCTGCCAGTCTGGAGGACCTTTGTGTCTGAAGGCACCCAGAGTTTTGCTGGCAGAACCAGAGCTGGTTAATGTTTACACTCTGTGTTCAAATATCAGCCATTTTTTGGAGTGTGAAGGTCAGTGCAGAGAGGGAGTGGTGAGATGGATAAGGTGCCAGTGTAATACCAGGAACAGTGTGAATCGAGCTATACCATGGTTGGCTATTGCACTTTGCTGATGTAATGCCTGCTCCTTTCCTTTCCAATCAGGTGGTGTGGCCCCTGCAAGATCCTGGGCCCCAGGCTAGAGAAAATGGTGGCCAAGCAGCAGGGGAAGGTGCTGATGGCTAAGGTGGACATTGATGATCACACAGACCTCGCCATTGAATATGAGGTAGGAGCCAGGAGCGCAAGGGCTGGTATGGGGTAGCATGGTGTCCTTGCCTTGAGGAAAAGTCTATCCACACAGCAGAAAACTATATTGAACAGGTGGAGGGGATGTGATAGCCAACATTTTGCTGTTATTAATGAACACCCCCCTTTAGTCATCAGCTACAGCCTTGCTGGTTGTTGCTCTTGGGGGCCCTTTAGAAATGTTGCTCCTTCTATTGCAATAGCCCCTGCATCCCATTGTGCTCCCTACAGTACAAGTATGTAACAAATTGCCGCAGTCTAAGCACAGTGTTGGTTTGTAGCTGCTCCACACGCAAAGCGGTCTGAAGAGTGACAGTAGGCCCAGCAGCTAGCCTGGCATCCTCTTACAGATGTCCTAAAAGGTCCATATAGGCAAAGCTGCACCACTCCAGCCCCTCTCATTTGCTGTCTCCCTTAGTGTTCATACCCTATCCTCAAGCTACTTCACCAAAGCAGTATATTGGTTTTGTTTGGGGTGAAGGTAGCTCTATGGAGAGATCAATAAACATGTTGACCTACTGGTAGGAAGGGACCTAACAGCTTTGATTAACACATCTCTTGCTGTACATGTAGTATTCTCTCCATTCACCACTGTTAACCATGAGTCTTAAGAGCAGAATGTTAAGAGAAGGCTCCAGCCAGTGGTTCTGTTATTCCTTTATCCTTCACTAGCTGATTTGAGACACTGAAAAGTCCCTCCAGTACTGCTCAGTGAACCTTGTATCTTCCCCTTCACAATCCTAGTAATGTCCAAATAGAAAGAAGACTGCTGCCTTACTCTTCAGTAAGAACTGACAGTGAAATAATTAATCTTTACTCACCCATTGGACAGGTGAGAATTGCTGCTTCTCTTTGCAATCACAAATTGAAGTTCTGCCAGGGTAGAAGTTAGGACAAATTACTCAGATGTATCTGCCAGCAAACAGCCAGGCAGATTCTCCAAGGAGAGCCATCTTGCAAAGAGTAAAGTGTCATGTGCTGGCCCTCGGAGGCTGTGGTAGTTAACCCTGCAGAGTAAAGATGCATCAGCTTCTTCTCTCTTGATCCTTTGCCTCCATAAGTTTTTGGGGGTGGGGAAGAAGTCTTTGCTGCTGGCATCCATGCAACAATGGAGTATGATTTCTTTCTTCCAAGGTTGGAGATGGAACCTGTGGGGTTCTCCTCTGACAGTGTCCTGACACGTGTCCAGATCAAGGCTGCAGTATTTAAGGCTACATGTCCAGATTAGAGGTGTCTTGTATTGCAAGTAGGGAGGGTATCTTTGAGGGGGTTGGTCAAGACAGACTGGAAGAGAGCGGTGGCTTTGGTGGTCGCAAGCAAGGACTTATAGCCAAGAAACTTAGGAAACTGGAAAAGGACTGATTTACATATGAGTGTCTGATTTACCTGGAGTGACATATGATTAAGTACTGGGTAGCTTGTTCCATACCTTCCTATAAGTAACCAAGAATGCATCACCTACAATTATTTCAGCTTGTCTCAGGTGACAGGAAAACAGCAAATAACACCCATGTTTAGAGAGAGGTGATAGAAAAGAAATTTACAATTACAGCCCTGAAGTTCAGATTCCTCTAGACGAGGCTGTAGAGATTTAAGAATGTGCAGTGTAATAAGGGAAGAGTTGATCTGCATTTGGGACAACTCTTCCTAAACAAACTGAATAGTCAAAATGATCCTGAGGGGTGGAGAATAAGGGGCACCTGGGATTCATTCTCTGACAAGAACTGGATTCCAAGGTTGTCCTCCTGCACCTGGAATGTAAACATGGTCAAAAGTCAGTTGGGTACATATTTCACAGGGGGGCTGAAGATCTCCAGTGTTGGGGATCCTGCATTCTCCACCATCTGCATGATACAACTTCAGTGATGCTAGTGCATTAGGCCCACGGGCTGAGAGTGTAGAGGTGGGAGGGGATTGCCAGTCACTCCATGATGTTCTAAAAGAGCACACAAGGGAGGAGTTGGTGTCCAGGGGTTGTCCAGAAATAGGTATTGTCTTACCAGCAGCATCCTTGAGCAACAGGGACTTTTAAGGCCCTTCCACTTGGGACCAGAGCTTTGAAATTGTTCTTAGCCTGCAGCCTGGGATTTTCAGTGCCCTTTCCCCACCCCTCTGATTCTTCCTACTAGCTGCCAATAAAGCTCCATCCTCCCGTGTGTATCTCCCTCCCCGCAGGCAGACATGGGCTGGCTGCCCAGCCTGGTATTGCACAACATCCTCTCTGCAGCAGATTGTCTGGGAAGAGAGAGAGACCCCCTTGGAGAGCTGTGGAATGCCTGTGCATTCCTTTGCATGGGCTGCTGCCTGCCCTTGGCTCTGGCTTAGCACGCATCCCAGGCACGTTTCCTTCTACTAGAAACCACCTAGAGACCCTTTCTTCCTTCAATTCCTTGCAAGGCAAAACTCCATCTTCCTGACAGGCTGAGTTCCTTCTCCTCCAGTGCCCTGTTCTCATCAGAGTTCTGACCAAGGTTTTTTCCCTACTGTCCTGCCTCTTCCTGACCAATTGCCAGAAGACCAGAAAGAGAGAGGCAAACAAGGTTCTTTGGGTGAGTTTGATATCTTTTACTAGACCAACTTAAATAGTTGGAGAACAATTTTTAAAGCAAGCTTTCGGGTTCAAAAACCCTTCGTCAGGCTAACCCTTGTCTGCCTATGTCCTTAGACCAACACAGCTACCACCTGCACCCCAGAAAGAGAGAGGTGCACGTCAGCTTTGATCCACTCTCACCTTGGATTCTCTCTTGCTTTACCTCTTATCTTGACTTATTGCCAACATGCGTATTTAGCCCAGCAGGGAAGTAGCAGCTGCTTCTCCTACTGGCAGGGTAACTAAAAAGCTGTTAGCTTGCAGACACCTCAGCAGTGTAGCTTGCTCCTTGCATTGTTCCTAAGGTCAGTGGATGAAGTCTTCCCCTTTGGTTATAGATTCATAGATGTTAGGGTCAGAAGGGACCACAATAGATCATCGAGTCCGACCCCCTGCATAGGCAGGGAAGAGTGCCGGGTCAGGGACTCTAACTGTGAAGAAGTTCTTCCTAATGTCCAATCTAAATCTGCTCTCTGCTAGCTTGTGGCCATTATTTCTTGTAACCCCCGGGGGTGCCTTGGTGAATAAATACTCACCAATTCCCTTCCGTGCCCCCGTGATGAACTTATAGGCAGCCACAAGGTC